TATTTTAGTGGCCAGTAAGCGCCCCGGGTCATTGGGTGATAGGCGCTTGTGTTATGAGTTCATATTTTATTAATTAATAGAGTGGCCAGTAAGCGCCCTAAGTCATTGAGTGATAGATGTTTTTCTTATTATTTAAGATTTATTATTCTATAATGTGGCCAGTAAACACCCCGGGTCACCAGATGATAGGCACTTGTGTTATTAATTAACATTTTCTTAATTCATATAGCGGCCAGTAAGCCCCCTAGGTCATTAGGTGGTAGGCGCTTGTGTTATCAATTAATTATTTTATTAATTAATAAAGTGATTAGTAAGCGCCCTTGGTCACTTGGTGATAGGGGCTTTTGTTATTTTTAAAGATCTATTATTTTATAATGTGGCCAGCGAGTATTCCAGGTCATCGGGTGATAGGCACTTGTGTTATTAACTAACGTTTTATTTATTCATAGAGTGGCCAGTAAGTGCCCCGCGTCATTGGGTGATAGGCGCTTGTGTTATAATTTAGGATTTCATCATACATCAGCGATAGTTCATAGCTTGGCCGGCGGTGGCGCTGATAATGAAGCGCTTTGAAGGTTGCGATCGGCAGCAAACTTTTGACCATCGCGGCCAACGCTACACTCTCGCACGAGTGCTTCTAGGTGGCGTATAGGCGCTTCCGTACCGCTCATAAAGCGAGCGCGCACGACTCATGGTCTAAGAGTCGTTGCCCGATCGCGCCGAGCACACACACAGACACGCACCCATAGTGCTTAGATATTAACATCGCCATGCCTCTGCGTCCGTGTGATCGATGCTGCGACTTCGTCGCAATTTATATTAATAATCATATCATCTGCCATATAATTTTATGGAAGTATAACTTCTTACTTGGGTACTCAAGCACCCACTGTCTACTGGTTTATCTCGCTCATCATCATATAGATGTTTAATTAAAGCGATCCCTCGAATTTTGCGTTTGCTTCGTTCACAGGTAACTGCAGATTCAAACAGACGAGAAGAAATAATGGAAGCCGAATGTAAAGTTATTTCTTTGATCCAACAGGAAAGATTCACCATTGAAATTAAGGGTTTGTCTACTCATTCTGATGAGATTGATAGAATTAACAAGTCAGGGAAAAGAACCACTCGATTTGACAATCTCAACCCCTTCATTGATGAGCACGGACTCATTCGAGTCGGTCGTAGGCTTAAACATTCAGAATTGCGCTTCAATCAGAAAAACACGATCTTATTACCTACTAACCATAATATTACTGATTTAATTATTCGACAAACTCATTTGGAGCCCTTTCACGCTGGTATTCAAACTACTCTCTATTTTATTTGTAACAAATTATGGATATTAAAGGGCAAAGATCAAGTCAGACATATTATGAAGCGTTGTGTTCACTGCATGAAACAACGGCCCAGAAGTCTACATGGACAGATGGCAGAATTACCAGCTTGTAGAGTAAACGAGACCCCACTTTTTTATCACTTAGGTACTGATTTTTTTGGCCCTATTTTCATCAAAGAAACGAAATTGCATTATAGTGGTGAGGTTAAAGTCTACGGTTGTATTTTTGTATGTATGCCCATCAAGGCAGTGCACTTAAAAATCTCTACCAATCTGTCTACTGCTGGATGTCTGGGCGTGCTCCACCACTTTATGAATCGCAGAAGAGTCCCTGCCTATTTTTATATTGATAATGGAACCATTTTTGTCGGGGCCAACAACGAACTTAAAGAAATTTATGCAATTTGGAATCCGAGAGAGCACATAGGTAAGTTAAAAACTTACTTTGAAAGTAAACAAATAACCTGGCACTTTAATCCACCATTACCTTCTCAGAATAAAGGTTGAAACTCTAAAAATTAAAATTGAAGCAATTTTTAATTCTCGGCCCCTTTCTGCTCTTTTATTGGATCCAAATGATCCAGTAACAATATTCCCAGCTCATATTTTAACAGGTCGACCTTTAACTTTGGTCCCTGATCAAAATCTGACTGTTATTCCAGATAATCGACTTTATACGTAGCGTTTCATCACTAAAGTGAGACAATGCTTCTGGGATAAATGGCATACTGAATACTTGAATGAACTCCAAATACGCCAGAAATGGTATGACTTGAATGCAGATATCAAGGTTGGTTTTGTCTTGATAATCATGGATTCCAATTGGCCCTGTTCCTGCTGGCCACTAGGTGTGATCATCGAGATGTATGCTAGGAGTGATGGCGCGGCATGGTACGACTGGTCTCTGTTAAAACAGCCACCAGAATCTTCAAACGAAGTATCACTAGACTGTGTCTTTTACCCACAGATTGACTTATCAAGATAGATATCAAAATTGGAATTTGAGTTGTCTTTTACATTACACACACACACGTACACACTAACTTATTGCCTTCGCAATACGCAGGGGAGTCTGTTCCGTAAAAACACATTTTTCTCATGCTTCTCCCTTGGTTTCTTTTCTTCATCGTTTGTTTTGCGCGTTGAATGCCCAGCCACACTGATGCGGAGCTCTTGACTGCGGCGCCTGCTGATTGGCGAGCGTGTGCGAGCTCGCAGCTCAGTCAGTCCTTAGTCACAGTTAGTCCAAGACGTTTATACGTTTTATTACTTCGCCTTTGCCTAGCTCTCTTACTTGATCTTGCGACCGGTGCCCTAAGCCCTTTGTGCAGCGTGCTAATTGCACCAGCAGTCAGAAACTATATTTAAAATAGCGTGCCGACAGCATTAACAGTTTAATAACTGTAGTTTGCTACTTACGAGTTCACTATTTTCATCGATTAGGATCAACCTGTGCGTTTAATTTTCTTCCCTCGATTCACTCACACTCACACATACAAATTGAAATTAGACTCTTTTTCACTGCAGTGAAATTTCTCGATTGTGACTTGTTTTAATAAAAAGGGTTTTTCATGTTGCAATAGCTTTTTCCCTGGATGTCAGTGTTTTAATTGTGTCTATCCCAAATCTGGTTTTAAAGCAAATACATATAACGTAAGGTGGGGTAAAGTAGTATTTTGCATCGTTTTTTTTTTTTTGTGGATTTAAAATTAATGAATAGTCTTGCTGTAAAGTGCATAAATTAAAAACGTGGCTGTGCTGCCTAAGGCAAAGTTACGATAAAATAGTTATTTTTAGAAGCTAATTAAATCTTAAGTCTATTGTGAGGTTCTCCGTATTCCTAAAGAAATATGTCTCAGACTTCTGTACAAAGTAGAAAATGTAACAGTAAAATATTATCATGCAATTTAAGACGTTGAACTTAACTTTTAAATAGCCATTTGAAGCGTAAGTACCTAAAAATTAAGTTCTCATACAAATGGTGTATAATTTCTTTCACTAAGTAGCAAACGTTTTTTTTTTTTAACATACAGGGTTCAAAGTAAAATTTTAGAGATTCAATATTATTTATGTAAGGCTTAAAATAAATTGGTTTTTTCTGTTACTATTGATAATCTTCTGTAAGAAAGTAGTGTGCGCACATATATAAAAAATTTAGACTGCTCTTTCTTATGTACGGTGCTGAAGAACGATTGGAAAGGGATACAGCATTGAGCGTGACTGTCTGCCTCTCTTGTATATTGCCATTGGTGTGGTGGAGGGGGTGAGTAAGCTACAAGTTCGACTGATGCAACCTCCCTTAAATTGGCAACGTGTGAGAGAGACAGATATTCAAGGTCGATGCTGGATCTTTCTCTACTTGTGCTTCAACCCTTACCCTACATAGAAACGAATGGTCCATATTTTTTACGTATATTTATAGTAGTGTGCAGTCTAGGACATGAAAATATAATGCACTACAGTGTTTACTTACCTTTAAATTATTGTAACATTGCAAAAAAGATACACATACTAACAGTCAAATTTTTGTGTAAAGTTAATTATAAAAAACATTAATTTTCTGAAAACAGCTTCTTTTACTAGTTAATGTTATCTTTCAATACTTATTTAGTTATTTCAAATTAGAAAGAAATTTTTTTTTGGCTATGTTTTATTATTGCCTCTATAAATTCAAAAGTTGGTTGCACATTTTTTTATCATATTGTTTACTCATTTTAAGCAGTAAAGATTATTTAATACATTTGGTCCCTGTTGCCAGAAATTTTCAACGGAATAAATGATGAAGACTAAACTATATTTTGTATTAACTTTCGATGTTAATTTTTTTAGAAAAATTGTTAAAAGTAGGAAAACAATTTTTTTAGTTTATCTTATTTGAAAGAACCAAACTTATGGTAAAAATTATAATATCGCAAACAAATAAGAAAAAATGGTTACCTGTTACTGAAATTAAACTGAGACTTTCTTTAAAATAAGGTGTATTATCATTCACATCCATGATTTTGAAAATTATTAATGTTGTTACTTCATGTATGCCATCTGTAGCACTTACTAGTAAATTATACTCTTCACATGATTCTGCATCAAGCTTGTGCGTCAGAATAATAGTACCACTAAACGGATTTATTCTAAAATTATTAAGTTTGCTATCTTCAACCAGGTGGTATACTAAAGCGGGAGAGCTATCCACATCATTAGCAGAAATAGTTGCGAGTACAGTACCAGGACAAGTATCTGATAGTATAGTAAATGTAAGTGTTAAGTTGAAATAATATTTTAAGTACTAGTTTAATGCAAAATATTTTAGAGTAGAAGATTATTTTCTGAAATATTTGTAAAAGTAAGTGTTATTAAAACATAGTACTAATTAGATTACCAGTATCTTATATCAAAAAATCATGAACCAGATTTAAAATTAGGAACTAAACATTTAAATAAAATCAAGTACATGACAAAAACTTAATCAGTATTTTACTTTATGCTTTTTTTATTAAAATAAAAAAAATACTCTAAAGTAAACTGACATGTGCGTTAAGTAAACGAATAGTATTTAATTTGTCTAACAAAACATAATATAAACAATAATAATTCGAAAGCTATTACTAGCTGACATATGCAAGATTCTTTTTGCCCGCAATTTTAAGCATTGCAGATATACTAGCTTATCTGTTCAAAGCAGTGGCTTACCATATTGTAGTTGAAGTACCATTACCAAACCATATTATTAGCTTATGTTAATATAGAAACTAATATTTTCATAGAAAGCAGCTCTAAAGAAAGGTGAAAGTGATGTAAGAATATAGAGCTTAGAGGTATATGTAAGGCAACATTACTGACACTAAAAAAAATGAGCCAGATGATCTTATAGTATATTACGTACCGAAGCCTAGGCTGGGAGCAGAGGTGGGTAGGTAAGTTACCTTAGGTAATTGACTTAGTTTCTTACAAGTAAGATACCTGTCAATTATCTGAGTCAGTTTCTGACATTGAAAGTCGTTTTGTAAGAAAACAGCTGTGCCCATAGTGCCCATGCTGTGCATTGCAAAAATAACTTTATTTGTACGTACATTTAGGTAAGATTAATAATAATAAAAATTTATGAGTCAATTTCAACAATACCAATACAAACATCTGTGTTTTTAAATAAAAATTTACTGCTTTAGTTACAAGCTAACCAGTGTCCCCAAATGTAGTACCCATGCTGTGCATTGCAAAAGTAACTTTATTTGTACGTACATTTAGGTAAGATTAATTATAATAAAAATTTTTGAGTCAATTTCAACAATACCAATACAAACATCTGTGTTTTTAAATAAAAATTTACTGCTTTAGTTACAAGCCAAATGTGGGCTTACTGGCCACTCTTATAAATAATAAATTATTAATCAATAACACGAGCGCCTAACATCCAATGACCCGGGGCGATTACTGGCCACTCTTATAAACAATAAATTGTTAATTAATAACACAAGCATCTATCACATAATGTATCACATAATGATCCATAAATAACTTAGTGGCCAGTGTCATTCAAATGTGTTACACGGTAATCTTAGAAAAACAACTTGTAAAAACAACTACGATGAAAGCATGAGACTACAGAAAATTTAAAATTATTTTTTTTCCACGATACAGATGCACTAAGAACATAAAAAATGTATTAAAATTGAAATATCTTTTAAACTGCATGGGCAATTTTTCCCATTTTTTAATGTAATATTTCTATAGCAGTATAAAATCAAATATCAGTTTTGGAAAGAAATCAGTAGTATGATTAGTTTTTAATCAAATAAAATGACCGTTTTTTACGCATTTTGCCTGTGCTTGTCATATTTACTAGTGCAACATTCAAGCCTTACATTTTCATTTTGACACAGCTTAGCCTTCTAAGATTTTAACAGTCATTAAAGATAGTTTAAGGAGACATGATTAAAATTTTTAGAAATTTCGTCGTCACTTCATTTCACCCACACCTTAATGCGCGCTTTCATTATTGTTGCAAATGGTATATAAGATTGCACTTTCAGGTTGTAATGTGCATGCCTAGCCTAGCTCACTTTCAACGGGCTTATCACATTTGCTGATGAGCATTTGAACTTAATCACATCTCACTGAGACCAGGTTGTGAAAATGACATAGATGGAACATATTGTACAGCGTATGACTAAAACTGGTGCAGTACATAAACTAGGCAACTTGCAAAATAAGTTTATTCTTCGTTCGTGTTTAACTGATAGAAAGCATTAATGTTCTCGTAATATTAATCTAAACTGCACTGCTTGTGTTTGATTTATACACACTAGGTTCATGTAATATTAATTAATATATGTGTGCTTGTGTCATGTTTTCTATGATAAATAACATGATTAAATTGTCAGTGCATGGTTATAAAAAAAAACTTCAGACGTTAAGAAACCGTTTAAAAATTTCTATGATTTTTGCAATCTATACTGATATAGTTATCAAATAAAAATCCAACCTTTGTATGCAAATAGAAAATCTAATAAAATTAAGTGAAAAATAACGTGAAAATTAAGAAAAATGAGAAAATAAAACTTGAATTGAAGTTAAGTACACACTGATTAATATAAATTTTTATTAAATAACATAATGAGCATCAAATGTTGTCAAAAAGTAAAAAAAAAGAACACACACTTGATCAGCACTTATCAGTACCTAGCCAGTACTTGATCTGCACTTAATAAGCACATGATCAGCGCCTAGCCAGAACTTAATTAGCATTTGATCAGCACTTTATCACCACCTAGCAAGTACTTAACCAGAATTTGATCAGCACCTAGCTTACACTTGACCAGCACCTGATATAAACTTGATGAGAACACAACCAGCAGTTGACTAGAAAGTGATAATTATTTAGCCAGCACTTTATCAGCACTTAATGAGCACTTTATCAGTACCTCACCAGAACGGAAGGCGTATATTACCTGTTGTACCATTATATATGTAAAAAAAAATTTACTGCGGGGATATTTGCTCAAAAATTCGCCTTTCATCTTTCGCGTTTAGGTTTTCAACAGAATTCGTAACTTGTTGTTTCAACGCATCCCCACTTTTACTACTTAAAAACGTGTCTGACCACAACATGTCCGATACTGTGTACCGATTATCAGCCCCTACACACGCGTATGTTATATCACGGG